TTATTTCTAAATTGCCTTTCTGTCTTCCTATCATCATTGTCTCTGTCTTCGTAATGTTTATTTTCATATTATATTGCTCCCCTTTGTTACTAATTTGATTTAAGTGGTTCTGTAGGCATTCTGTACTTTTCGCTATGAGTACTGGTCGTCGGCGAATAGTAATACTGTAATATCTTCTTCATCATTAAAATGAGAATTGTCAAATGTTTTATATACCCAATCCTGCTTTATGGTGTAGAAACCTGGACAATAAACAAGCAGCTAGAAAATCTAACTGAGTTCCTAGAAATTTCGGTATACAGAAGAATGGTTCGAATTTCAAAGAAAGAAAAACAGTCCAATTCAGAGGTTCTGGAAAGATTACAAATGAAAAGAAAATTGATGAAAGTAATTAAAAAGAAATCAAATTCTTTGGCCACATTAGAAGACATAACAGGCTTCTAAAAACCATTGTCATGTGAAAGGTCGAAGGCAAGAGAGCAAGAGGTGGACAACGATACAAGTAGGAGATCAACATAAAGAAACGGACTGGCAGCAGTCTGCGAGAGTGTTCAACCAGGATAAGAGACAGAGCCTGATTTAGATCCATTGCAGCCAACCTTCAATGTAGAGACGGCACCTGATTGATTGAGGTAACAGATCGGAGTGGACAAAATGATCGGTCCATCTACTATCGTGTATGGAGTTCAGCTTAGTTCCTGAGACTTCTCTGAACAGAGTTCAAATGACAACGAATTTTGAATATTACCAGAGAAGACAGTAGCAACTTCACCGATGTCTCAGTTAGAATATAACTGAATGATTTCCCTGATGATGTCTGCTGACTGAAAGGTTGACATCACCTCGAACTCGAATGTTTGTCTAACAGTATAAAATGCCAGATACCCCATTTAACCTTTTATTGTGATTATATCTGAGGACCATACGGCTGTACCAAATACTATCTTGAAACACTCTAATATCAAAGATGGGTATGAAACTATGTATTCCTATTACAAGATGAGGACTTGTGTCACTGACCGAAGCAATTTTGTTTTCGTGTCTACATTGCTGTTTCCTTTGTTTGTTTTGAGCAAACTCCAATTAGGTGGGAGATTCCTGTAGGCTTGGCTTTTGATATGTGGCTGTATGGTCGTTGGAACATCAGATTGATGCTCGCCTGGATCGACAATGCACCAGAAAATAATAATAAATATATGTAGCTTGAAAATGAAGTTTAAATTCAACAGCATCGACCTCATTGTCCCATATAGTTCTGCCTCCAAAGAGAGACTCGTCCCCGATCGAAAGATCGTTATAAAGAACTAAACTCCGTAGCTCCGGCAATTATCCTCATGGATCTCCGAAACGCATGCACTGATATGGAGTCCGAATCCAAACCTACAACCTTAATACGCAAGGCGAATTAGTCCATCAGGTGCCACCTTCATAATAAAGATTAGCTGCTATGGATCGTCACGTTCTGTCTATCGCCCTAGATGTGCACTCTTTTAAACTTCTGTTCGTCCATCTCTTGAGGTTATCTTCTAACGTCTGTCGCTATCTCTTCATTGCTTGCCTTCATCTTTTTCCACCCAGTTCTTAGTTATTTCTTTTAATGTGGCCAAAATATTTCATTTCTTTTTTTTTCCCTCAGCAACTATTTTTCATTCCGCTTCAATGCCTTTGTATTTGCAAGGTAAAATGTTTACATAAATCACCATTGTATTCAAGGTCGACCCAGCCTTAAGTGGGTACCAGGTGTGGTCATTGGAAGTAAAGGTGGCCGGTGTGATGCTGACCATATTACCCACCAAGGGCCGATTGGTTTATAAAAAATATAGGTGTAGTCCTATATTTTCAATACACCTAAAGGCGTTGAAAAGGGATCTTTACTTCACTTAAGAGACGAAGCGTGGGCAGTAAAATTCTTTGCCGTCGAAGCTGGCGCAAGAGATCTTATCTCCACTTCCACGTATATTGTGCTAAAGCAGCTGGGCTTGCGGGGCAACGAGCGTAAACGGTCACTAAAACAACTGGGCTGCAGAAAGAGCTTGGAACGTTATGGGGGAATGGGCCTCGGTAGACTGGTCTGAGTCCATAGTGGAAAAGAGCTTCTTATACCTTAAGCCAAAGTGTCCGATAAATGTCTGCCGGTGTCTCTCTGCCAAATGCCAAAGTATAACAATTACACGATGAACCGACAGTAAGATTGTCACTCTGGTCGTGAAACTAGTCAACTGATCTAATTTGCTACTACAGTGACAATATAACACCAAATCTCACAACACCTGTTGCAAAGTCGACATATCGTCTTGTCCCTGTCGAGTCCGATTAAGTGCAGCAGTGGAAGATCGAGATCTGGAGTCATGACCCAGGTCGGGCCCACCTTCCGAGATTGTATAGGAAATAATGGGTCGAAACAATCGTCGACGAAGGATCTTTCTACTGATGAGGGTGGACCCCTGCTGTGCATGCTCCCCTGTGGAGTTACTATTATTATTATTACTTACCATTATCATCAAATACCTAGCCGACTGGGGTGGGCGATCATGCCTCTCGAGAACCTGTAAACTCCAACGGTGTATAAATGTTCCGGTGCTGACACAAAAGGTTGCAAATGATCCTTTCACGTTGTTTTTCTCTATCTCTCTTCAAATGTCTTTCCAGTGATCACCACATGTCCCAATTTTTTTTTTTTTTTCTCATAATACGGACAAGAAATGATGACTGTCTCCTTCTGAAGGTTGTGACAAGTTGCTTGCCTCTTTTAAAAAATCTAGGTTAGAGCAGTCTTCTGTAAAACCACTTCTCTAAGGCTTCAAGACATTTTGTGGCTTGTTTATTAATTATCTAGATTTACATCTATATGTTAAAAGTGTTCCTGAATGTGATAACTTCTCATGACAGGGATGTATTACATAAGATATACTTAATTTTGTGAAGTGCTGTTTTTGCCTGTCATGTTCTGTTCCTTATCTCTGTGACTCATCTTAACTCTATGTCAGCGGTTCTCAACATGTGAGTCGCGACCCATCGGAAAACAAATTTTGATTGAAGTTATGAAGTAGTAACGAAAACAATTGTATGTTTGGGAGTCGACAACACGAGGAATTGTATTAAAGGGTCGCGACATTAGGAAGGTTGAGAACCACTCGTCAAGATACTTAAATAAATAAATTACCAAAATAAGACTATCACCTGTACTCATATTTATTGCAACAGTAACAAGAGGTAGCAGACATATGTGATCATAGAAAGAAAATGTTCGTTGTGGAGACAAAGAAGGCATTAGATTTAAGAGTCAACATTGCATAGTGAACAAAATATCTACATATAATACACACTTACACTGAATGCAGTTTGCATACGATTTGAAGAAAGGTTTGTGTACATTTTATACAGAATACATACAAGGAATGTATATACTTTGTCATTACCAATAAGTCTTTGAATCAATACTCTCTCCCCCTTCCCTCTCATTTTCTCAGTGTTATTTCTCTCTCCATCCTCTTCTTTGTCCACTTATGTCTCTCTTCTCTTTCTCTCCCCTCCTCTTATCTTTCCATTCTCTCACTCACACTCTCTCTCACTTCAAAACAATGAGATTCTGTACTCTCACGGTGTCAAACCTTCAGGTTTTGTTGCTTTGGCATGCAGCCTGAGATATTTTGATCTCGGGGTGTCATATTTTTAGGCAGCAGCCCAGGAGATCGGCATGCACGCACGCGCGCACATTTTTGTTTTTAAACCAGAAGATAATGCCACTTTACATTACGGTCATTTGTTTGTTTAACTGTTATCTCCTGGTGATTCAGAAGTGTTTTATCCTCTTGTGTATAGTGAGGAAGGCAAAGACAATTGATATACATCAGAACCATCGATAGATAAGATAAATATATAAATAGTTGTTGGTAGTGCTTGTGCGTAAAGAGGGGAAAACATGCAAAATTCACACACATACACACACATTCACAACTCGTTTATATATATATATATATATATATATATATATATATATATATATATATATATATATATATATATATATATGTATGTATATATATATATGTGTGTGTGTGTGTATATATATATATACACACACACACACACACATACACACATACACATGTGGGTTTTTTTGGGGTAAAATAAGTGCTGCTACTGACCACAAAGTGTCTATTACAGCAGTGCTGAAAAAATGCCTGAGAAAGAGTACCAGCATACCACTGTGTACCGTCCGAAAAAATCCGTGTGTGTGCGATAGAGAGAGATAGAGAGAGAGAGAGAGAGAGAGAGAGAGAGAGAGAGAGAGAGAGAGAGAGAGAGAGAGAGAGAGAGAGAGGGCGAGAAGAGAACAAGAAATACAAAAGCAAGATGGGAAACAGCAAAGATTTCAACCTTGATAAACTATAAAAACTACAGTTTTAGCTGTTGGCCCCATTCAAAGGATGGGGGTAGGGGGAGTGGGAGTTTGGGGTGCAAATATACTGAGCTACTGGAACCAGTTCAGATACTTTGACACAGCAGCATATCCCAGGACCCGGTTCAATCGAATACAACAGTTACATTGTGGTACCAACGCGTTACAAAGTATTAAATCACACTGTCTTACTTGAATCTGAGATCACAGGTATAAATTGCACCAATGCGTGACACTGCCCTTAAACATCCTGAATTATTTGTAACTGTGACTTAAACATTAAGAATTACCTGAATCAGACGTCTCAGTTGAACTGAATTGCCTAATAATTAAGTGACTATTATAATTGGGTGCTATATTAAGTCTCTAATATCCTGAAAATCTTGAATTATAGATTTCTGACATTCTGCATATTTGAATACAAAATGTTACACGCTGGATGTTTTGAGTTGGACTTTAGGCAGTACACATTTTTTTTTTCAACCAGAGATCTCATACAAAACAAGTATTTTAAATCAGGGACCTCAGACAAAAAGCACAATCTTGTATTAAGGAACCTCAGACGAAAATAATAGTCTTAAATCTGGGAGCTCGGACATCACAAATTACTAGGTACCACAATAATCTTCTTTTTTCGACATTTCGGTAAGTAGACAAACACCATGATGAGTCCGGCAAACACTGTAAAGCCACCAGCCATGTAGAAAGACTTGTCGTAATCCCCGTAAACGTTGCTTAAGACACCTGGGGAAAACAAAGTAAATAACAGACATCAGTTAAACGACATTATCCTGTTCTTCTTCCTCTTCTTCTTCTTCTTCTTCTTCTTCTTCTTCTTCTTCTTCTTCTTCTTCTTCTTCTTCCTCAGCGTTCATCCGAAGATGTAATTGCGTTATGTCCGTTTACAGCACGATATTTGCACCATTCGGCCAACACATCCGACTTCTGAGGGCATTTGTTGACCGGGTTAGCCTTCCCGGATATATCCTGTTCAACCCATCAGTGTTTTGTTTTTCTTTTTCTGTTTCAACAGGTTTTATTTACGCTTGTTAATTCCTTTTGGTTATTTATTGCCCAAATAATATATTACTTATAACTGTAATCATAAATTCGTAGGTGTTAATTGCTGATAACATTGTTTGTTTCATTAGTTATAATGCTGTTCTGGTCGTTAACTTGAGAAGGAGTACAATGGAGCATGTTAAAGGAGAAAGTTAAAGGAAAGAAAAGAGGTTAAGAGAATGACCGCATCCCCTGCTTCCCCACCCCCCCCCCACCCCCACCCCACCCCCGCATCCCTTAACCTCACTCTCCACACCCTAAAAAAAAAAAACAATATTGAATAGCTCGGCATAATGTTATAGGGGAATATATTTGCTAGAAATGACTGAAAGTACACAAGGTGTTAGTACACACAGTTAAATTTCTACATTTCGGCACCACTTAAGACATGGGAACAAAAGTAAATGCATTAGAAAACAAATGGCAGCTTATGAACATTAAACGAGCTGAATTCAAGAAAGGTACCGAAATAGGAGAAATATTTGGATAACTACAGGTATGAACAGTTATATGCCAAATGAGATAACCCTAAATTGGGCATATCCTGAAAGAAAATGAGCAGAAAATCGAATCCCAAAACAGGCACTTTAAGGGGACTCAAACTTATCAAAGAAACAATGACCCTAAAAGGAATGGAGGGGGGCCCAATAAGCTGGAAAAGATTCCATTCATGATATCGCACGGATATCACACGATAGCACGTATGTGGAGCCCTATGTGACATGTAATGGTACAACAGGATGACGATGATGGTTACGACGACGAAGAATGTGAACACGGGCGATCCTAAATGGTTTCTGATATTGTTATGTGCAACTGGTTTGCACTTTATGTCGCTTACTTATAGTAACAGTGCATGTTTAAAAGAGTTGTGATTGTATTCATTGACGGTGAAGAGCTGAAGGCAGTTGGCCATTTGACCTATCTGGGATCTTCAGTGAATAATAAACAATCAATGAAACAAGAAATCAACATCAAGTTAGGTTAGGCATCAACAACAATGAGCAGATTAACCAGAAAGAATTCGGGAGAACAGAAAGCTCACTATTAAAACAAAAGATCTTGGTTTTCAGGCTTGTGTTCTCAGCATTCTGCTTTATGACCTTTATGACAATGAAATTTGGTCAACTTACTTATTCGCACCAGGGGAAACTACTAAACAACTTTCAAATGCGATGCCTAAGAAGAATACTTGGCATTAGGTGGCAGGACAAGATAACAAATGCTGATGTATTGGGAAGACCAGATATTATAATAGTTTTCTCAATGATCATTCTACAAAGGCGTAGATGGCTGGGTACAAGGACATCCTCTATGGTGAATTAAAGATGGGTAAAAGATGACAAGGCCGACCTCTACGATATGACGATGTGTGCACGCGGGACATGAATGATAAATGTACTGTGGTAGACTCGTGAGAATAAAATGCCATGGACGGTGTTGTGTGGAGGAGGCACATCAGGCTGGGAATGGGAAAGAAGGAAGAAATGATTGCAGAAAAGATGAGAGCTAAGCGTCTGAGAAGAAATACACTAAACACAAATGTTGACAACAACAGTTCTAAAATCCCATTCCATAATTGTGGGAGACTTTTCTTAACATGGGCGAGTCTAGCTAGTCACGTCCGCCAACGCCATGGGCTGTGAGTCGCATGCCTCCTCATATCACAATATACCGCTATCGTCTAGAAAGATAGAACGGTGCCAAACGATTGTATACTACATTACCGTGTTGGTCCTAGGGCCTCATTTTGGAGGAAAAAAGAAAAGACCCACTGCCCCCTATAAAGCATGTCGTAAAAGTCGACTAATTAGGGGTATATCCTTCGAAACCGGAGTGCATCTGCCCGAGAGGCAAAGAACCAACACATACAAAAAGTCGGACCTGTAAAACGGATGCACACGCAATACTCAAGCTCTGGAATAAGACCAGCACTAGCCATGCAGCCCTAAATCCGCAGGCTCCAAGACCCACCCCCGCACCGCCCCCCCCCCCCCTTTTTTTTTTTTATACCGCAAAAGAGGTAAATACAAGCAGTTATGGTAGTTCATGATTTTTAAAAGAGTGTTGGCAAAATATTTTCTTTATCTTTTTTTCCTCCCCCAAGCAACTTTCTTTTCATCTTTTCATTCTCAATCTCTTCATAAACTGTGTTGTTGATTACTTTTGTTTCCATGAAATTGACCAACTCGTCTACAGCTTGTTCATTTTGGAGGCTTTTGCGACAAACAGAATTTCAGTGCACATAACATCTGATAATTCTAATTTTAAAAGTGTTGTTAATGTCTTCAGATGTCAATATTTCTTGCTCATATCCCCTACACCTTTACAGACCACCTTGAAGTGTGTTTATCAGTTTACATTTTATTGCTTCGATAAAATTACCCTTATTTCATCGCATCTTGATCCTCTGGTACCTTGCGGTGTCGAGGTGAAGTATAATCTACGGAAAATTGCCCGTTTGCATGCTTCGTAAATGGGGATTTCCAGGGACTCTAATTCCATCAGTCTATTGCTTGCATGGTCCCCCTCTTCGTCACTTCCCTCCTGGTATGTACATCATTGCTTGCTGTGGTACACTTTCAGCTGACATCCTCGTTACACAGCTAAACTATTTCACCTGCTGTTTTCAAATAAAAATCCAGATGTGCCGCATCCCCATTCTCCTTCGGATGTCATCATTCCTGACCTAATCTCTCATTGTTATTTTAGGAGACCTTCACAGGAATCTAATTTCAGTTGTTCTCTTCTTTTCTTTTTCACATTCACCGGCTTTAAACTCCGGCTGAAAGTTCTGGTTGTTCATCCACTTCTGGACTCTAGTCCTGTTCCAGAAATTGAGTGTTGCATGCACATTTGTTCCACAGGTTCTAACTCATTTCCATGCAGACTGTTGGTTCCTTGCCTCTCATGCAGATATACTCTGACTTCGAAGGAACACCCATTTAGCCGACTCTTACAAAATACTTTTGGGCAGGCAGTGAGTCTTATCTTGTTTCACCCACAATGGGGCCCCGAAACCACACAAAGGTTCAGTTGTTAACATTTTTTATATTTTTATGTCACTGTCCAAGTCTGGAATAGACAGCACATAATAATAAAAATTACCTTAATTGTACTTAATCAGAAATACTAGATCAACAGGCAGGTGTACCGGTATACTAAAACTCCAGTGACAACATAAAGGCTTACCTCCAAGTGGTGGTCCTGCAAAACATCCCATACCAGAAGCCAGCAACACGTACCCGAGACCTATCTCCATATCCTTGGTGCCCAGAATGTCCACAGAAACAATCATATATAAGCCCAGAATGCATCCTACGGCAAACCCCATGCACACTAGCACTATCGCCAACTCTGTAAAAGACTTGAATAGGGGAACAATTCCAATAAATATACCAGTTAACACGTTTGCAACCATGTACAACACAATTCGCCTGCCCAGCATATTTCCGGTGATGCTTATAAAGACACAACCTATCAATTGCCCAACACCATAAAAGGTGAAAACAAAAGCGGCATTCACAGCTTCGTGACCTTTCATGACGATCAGATCCGGGCCAAATGTGACAAACATTGTTGTGGTCATGCTCCAGATGATAGTGGAGATAAAATAAATCATGAATTTGAACTCTGCTAATACCCTGAGATGGTCTTTGAAATGTTCTTTCAGCGATATTTCAACAGGGAAGTTCTGTGAGTCATTAACTAAAGAGACCTTTTCAACATCGGTGCATTGAGTCTCTTGTTGTTCTTCCTCTTTTTCGTCAAAAGGACTCTCTTCTGTTTCTACAATGGCTGTTTCAAAGGCGTCATTACTTCCATACAAATCGAATGAATTTCTGAAGTTTGGCAACCAAGTAAGGTAGCTGGGGATAAATATTCTAGAGATGTCATCCTCAGGGACAGAAGTAAGCGACACACTTCTCGGTCTTGATGACCTTGATGGTCTTCGTTCTATTCGTCTGCTTCGACTGCCCCTCCTTTTAAGACTTGTGGAGTAAGTCAATTCTCGGTTGCTACTTTCGCAAACCGAATTTAAATTTCTCTCCTCGTACAGTTGTTGACTTTCTGTTCTCACATCGTGATTCGGAGACTGTGGTTCTGCTTTCTGATACTGACTGGCAGTCTCCAAATCGGGCGATTTGACTGCTGCTGATTCTAGTGAGAAACATTCGGTGACGGTATCCTTGCAGTCTGGGTACACTGCATCCTGATGAAGTAGCTTGTCGTTGTCCTCTGGAGGTTCTATCATGAGCAGTGCGAAGATAAACAAATGCATGTCCACAGCGGCTAATATCATCAAGGAACCTAAAGATTACAAAGGAGACTAGTTTAGTGAAAATGTAGTGTGTTCTTTATTTACGAAACATTTAAACACAAGTTAACAATCGATTTAATGACTACATTGTGCTTTCACATTATTTATTCATATGTGGTTAGTTCTCCTTCAAGAATCATAGCCATTACTTAGTGTGTTCTCTAACTTGTCACACTTAGTCAGAGCACACTGAAGATATCTGGCTTACTTTCATTTTTTTTTTTTTTTTTATTTCAAGACTATCAATAATAACACTTTAAAGATGGCCGCCCGACTTTTGACCTGTACTAAAGAAAAACAGTGTTCTCTTATCCATTCTTTCAACTGGTGAAGGGGTAAACCTGATAGAAATTCATAAGCAAATGCGGGTCTAATATGGTGATGTATGCCTGTCAGTCCAGCAAGTGTATGATTGGTGTAGGATTGTTCTAAACGGCTGAAATCAATCTGAGGTCTCTACATGGTGCCCTTCATCATGTCGTGAACAATCTGTCACAGAAGTCCCGTAGTTTTGAAAGGTTCTACTCCACACACACTTGCTAGACCGACAGCACGCATCACCCTACTGGATCCTTGTTTGCTGAAGAATTTCTATAGGCTTCACCCCTTTACACCCCTATACGGCTTTGAACCCGAAATCTTCATATCAGAAGGCAAGCGTCAAACCTGAGCCACTGCGGCACATACACGGTCTATCAGAAACCGTATCCCCGGCGCCATGATTGCTCGATAATTACCGCCAGGTTCATGTGTTATATGAGGTCTTAATTAATAATATTACTCTTAATCTGGCCTTACAAATCACCAAAATAAATTCCATACCTTTAGAATCGGAATGTATTCCTATACTGCTGATTTAGCGGTAAAAGCAGAATTTATTGTGTTTACAGTTGGCTTTTATTAGCTATTCAAAAACATTCGTAAATAACATTCTCTAAATGGCAAGTTAGAGGCGCGCTTGGTGATAGGGTTAGAACACTGGCCTTTCATTCAGGAGACATGGATACGAATACTGAACGCCTTAAGACCTGCACAGTTTTTGGCGGTGGCAGTATCCATCTCCTTGCCTACACAGGCTAAACAGTGGTCAAATAAGGGCACTAAAGAAGCTTTAAGGAAGAGCGATAATGCTGTTTTTCTCTGCGAATACAAATGTTCGACAAACAGTACTACAATGGAGAAGAAATTATAGATTTCTTCTTCTTCTTCTCCTTCTACATTCGCTCTTAAAAGTCATGTTAGGGTTTTAAATATGTTGCGATATCCTTGGGCCATTCCGATATTGCTTTTTGCAATATGCTTTTGTTCGGGTGATGGGATGAAGGGGGGGGGGGGTGCAAGGATGTTATTCCCCCCCCCCTCCCACCTTTTAAAAAAAATGGGGTCCCAAAACACACAGAGGAAAGCAGAGATCTAATTTTCAAAAAGTAAAATGACAATATTCTAGAATCGAAGCAGAACAGACAAGCGGCCTAAATAAGATAAGGTGATAAAAAATCACTTATTTACCCTTCCCCAACAC